AAAGGAAAAAAAAAAAAAAAAAAAAAAAAGCTAAACATGTAGTTACCATATGTCCCAGCAAACCCACTCTGAGCTACATGCCCGAGAAAAATGAAAACACACATCCACACAGAGATTTATTCAGGAACGTCTATAGCTGCATGATTCACAACAGCCAAAAGTGGAAATGGCCTGAATGTCCGTCCACGGAGGAATGAATATATACAACGCGGTCCAGCCAGATCCAGGGCCCCTCCCCGAGCCTCTTCCTGTTTTAACTCTTTCCTCCTCTGAGTAGGAAATATTTTCGTCTCCTTTCCCCGGGGAAACAAACGCAGGCCCAGAGAGACCGAGTGAGCTGCCGGCCTGTGCTGCCCTGCGGGAGCCCCCAAACAGGATGCACTTGTGGAAGGGTGAGCGGTCTGGCCGTTCCTCACACAGCCGACGTGTAGAGGCCGCATGACCTGCTAATTCCGCTCCCAGGCGTACACCCAAGAGAAATGAAAACGTACGTCCACATAATGACTTGTACGTGCACGTCCACAGCAGCGTGAGTCCAACAGCCAAAAGTGGAAACGACCCAAGTGTCCATCAACAGACGGACGGACAGACAGCGTGGTCCATCCACACATGGAATATGACTCAGCCATGAAAAGGAACGAGGCACTGACACGCGCTGCCACGTGGCGAATCCTGAACACGTCACACTCAGTGACAGGCGCCAGACACAAAAGGCCACGCAGTGTGTGATTCCATATATGAAACGTCCAGAACAGGCCAGTCCACAGACAGAAAGTGGATTGGTGGTTGCCGGGGAGCTGGGGGAGGGGACAGGGAATGACCGCTGATGGGGACGGGGCTTCTTTTGAAAATGATGGAATTAGAGGTGATGGTCTCGTGACTCTGAGAATGTACTAAAAACACTGAATTGTGCACTTTAAGTGGGTGAAATGTATGGTATATGAAGTATATTTCAATAAAGCTGTTATTAAACACACTCACACACCTGGGGCGGGGCCGGCTTCCTGGTGTGGGTCCCATCCTCACTCAGGGCCCCAAAAAATATCCTCCTGGGGGTGGGACTGGGATACTCGGAAGGGAAGACACTAGTTCCTGCTAGGCCATGGAGGTGAAGGGTGTTTATTTAGCATCTGAGTGCTGAGCCCTCTGCCCAGCGTGTCTACAGGAATACGGCATTCTATCCTTCCAGACATCCCTCGCCTGGTGCATTTTTCAAAGGAGGCACTGAGGCTTGCAGGGCCCCTCAGGTGTGGTCAGCTGGATCCGGGCCAGGGGACACCCCTGCCCCATCTCAGTTGTGGGGACCTAGACAGGGGCGCCTGCCTCACCCTCTACGTGACCTGCCTGGGGCCAGGATGAGAGTCGGGGAATCCCCTGAGCCACCAGGAAGGCATCCCAGTCTGGCCAGACCGGTTGCTACTCCAGAGGGCTCCCCAAAAGGGCAGACCTGTCACCATGTCTTCACCCTGGTGCTATTTAGAGGTGCCGCCTGCGGCTGTGGCCATGGGACTGGGCTGTTGGGAGCAGAGGGCAGGGACTGGAATTCCAGGATATGTTCTGTGTGGGGCCCTGGGGAAGTCACTGCCTCTCTCAGGCCTCGGTTTCCCCACTTGTCAATGCCTCCTCTTGGCTCTGAGTATGTGTAGGTTGCTGTGTGCCCCTCTCCAAGCCCAGGTCGTGAGGCAGGCAAGTGAGGGGAGAGCCGGCCACCTTGCTGGGTGGCTCCCGTGGGGCTGGGTGTGGCTGTGCAAGAGGAGCGGGCTGGGTGGAAACAGGGCCACCCTGTCCCCACTGCCCCGTCAGCTGGGCATTGGCATGCCTACGTGTCTGTCCTGTCACCCACCTGCCCAAGTGTTCACCAGCTCATCCCCCACCCTCCACCTGCTGCAAAGCCCGCTGCCCTGTGGGTCTGCCTCTCAGGAAGCTCTAATTCAGAGCAGGAGACGAGTCTCACACGCGCATGCCCAGTCCAGGAGCCCAGCTCGCACGCACCAATGCATGTGCCAGAACCTTCTGTTGTGACCTCTGACCCCGAGCATCTCCTTTTCTCTCTGTCTCTCTGTCCCTCCCTGTGGCCACCTCTCTCAGTCTCTTTTTCTAGTCTCTGCCTCTGTCTCTCCTGTAGCTGTCTCTCTTGTCTCTGTCTCGCTCATCTCTGTCTCTCTTGTCCTTGTCTGTCTCTCTTGTCCCTGTGTGTCTCCGTCTCTCTTGTCCCTGTGTGTCTCTGTCTCTCTTGTCCCTGTGTGTCTCTGTCTCTCTTGTCCCTGTGTGTCTCTGTCTCTCTTGTCCCTGTCTGTCTCTGTCTCTCTCATCTGTCTCTCTTGTCCTTGTGTGTCTCTCTTGTCCCTGTCTGTCTCTGTCTCTCTCGTTTCTGTCTCGCTTGTCCCTGTGTCTGTCTCTCTTGTCCCTGTCTCTCTGTCTCTCTTGTCCCCGTGTCTGTCTCTCTTGTCCCTGTGTGTCTCTGTCTCTCTTGTCCCTGTGTGTCTCTGTCTCTCTTGTCCCTGTGTGTCTCTGTCTCTCTTGTCCCTGTGTGTCTCTGTCTCTCTTGTCCCTGTGTGTCTCTGTCTCTCTTGTCCCTGTGTGTCTCTGTCTCTCTCGTCTCTGTCTCTCTCTGTCTCTCTTGTCCCTGTGTGTCTCTGTCTCTCTTGTCCCCGTGTCTGTCTCTCTTGTCCCTGTGTGTCTCTGTCTCTCTTGTCCCTGTCTGTCTCTGTCTCTCTTGTCCCTGTCTGTCTCTGTCTCTCTTGTCCCTGTCAGCCTGCAGGTCTCTGCACCCACTTCTCTCCCACTCCCTCCCCGCCCCGGCAGCCCCGGTTCCGACCCAGCCCAGAGGCTCCGTGACTCACGAACGCGCCCCGCCCCCCGGCCCCGCAAGACAAACAAACACGCGCGGAGGCCCGGCCCCNGGCCCGGGGCTCCCTGGCTGCGTGGCGTCGGCCGCGTCATTCCCAGTCTGGGGCCTCGGTTTCCTCAGCTGTGAAATGGGCGCAGCACACCTGGCGGGAAGGCTGGACAGCTAAGGCGAAGGACGCAGGGGAAGCTTCTGGTTCCTGGCTCAGCCCAGACAAGGGTCTGTGCGGAATAGTCCTGAGCGTGGGGTCGCTCGACCTGTTTACAAACGGGAAACTGAGGCTCCAGGAAGGCTCCTGTGGGCCCAGTTACATAATGAGGTGGGGGCAGAGGTGGGCTCTGAACTCTGGACTCCCGGCACTACAAAACCAAAGTCAAGACCTGCCTGAGTTGGGACCCCTCTGTTTCTTCCAGGACACCCCATTTGGCAGATCAGGAAACTGAGGCACAGAAGGGGAAATGGCCTGCCCAGGGTCACACCCAGAGGGGTGGTGGGGCTGGGGCTCCATGGTGCCCAGAGACTGTCCCTGCTGCTCATCACTGTCCCCAGGGCCCCACCCAGCAAACAGGAGGCACTCCATAAGTGCTTGTGGAATGTGTGTGGCAAGAGCAGAGGCCAGGGTGAAGAGGAGATAAGGGGCGGGCTAACTGGGAGACGAGGGGAGCCAGAGCCCGCAGGGACCTGTCTCCACTTCCCCACAGGTCCAAGGTCTGGTCACGGGAGTGGGGAGGGGGCCCAGCTAATCGCTGGCCGCCGCCTGAATCACCACCATTAGGGCAGATAATCACCCCCTGCCCTTCCCAGCTACTTTCATCTGGGGCTCCCAAGGCCCTCATTAGGCTGCATGCGACGAGGGCAGTGACAAGGACTGGCTGGGCCGGTCCATCCGTGGTGGGCACCGCCAGGCGGGGTGGCCTTGGGCCACAGGAGAGGCCTGACTCCGCTGGGTGACCTGGGACAGTCGCCATCTCTCTCTGAGCCTCAGTTTCCCTCACTGGACAGCTATGCGGGTGATGGGTGATGAATGGCTCTGTGTGGGCGGGGCTTGGGGCTCTTCTCTCTTCATTAATTCGGTGGTTATTAATTGGGCACCCTTGTGTGCTGTGCTGGGCACCAGGCAGACTGCGGTGACCGAGTCGGCTCACCCTCATGGGACTCCCAGGTCAGAGGGTGACGTAGTTAAACAAGAGAACAAGGAATGTGGTAATTTCCCAGGGGGCCATGCAGGGTTCAAAGACCATGAAGAGGAGGTGGGCATGGGAGGCCAACTGGGCTGCCTCTGGGAGGGTCTGGCAGCCTCTCCGAGGAGGTGGTGCTGGAGCTGGCCCTGCGCAGGAAGAGCTGTGTACCTGGCAGGGGAAATGGCAGGTGCAAAGGCCCCGGCGTGAGATTGAGCATCGAGGATGAGACTGAGGGTGGGCAGGCAGGTGCGGGGGGTGAGTGGCTGGCCTCATGGGGCTGATGGCCTCTAGGTCCAGACAGGAGACTGAGGCCCAGAGTGGGGCAGGGTTCACCCAGGGTCACCCATCAGGGAACAGGGCCTGAAGCTGGCTCTGCCACTCCCGGGCCTCAGTTTACTCCTGAAGTGGGCAGAGTCAGCACCCCCTGGGGCTGCTGTGTGGGCTTGGTGGGGTGCAGAGGGCGCAGGATGCTTGGCTTCAGCCAGCTCAGGCATGTTAGCGCTGATCGTCGACCCCAGTGCGCTGTTCTGTAAACACCTGCCAGCGGGGGCGCGCCTGGGGGCTCTGCGGTCCGCGCTGGTTGTTCCTTTTACTTACTGGTCTCAGCAGCTCGCCCAGGCGGCCACCGCCTCCTTTCGAGGCCTCCTCCTGGCCTAGACCTTCGGCTTAGTTTTCTTGTCCTGAGTGGTGTCCACTTGTCCTAGGCCCCTGGGACCCCCTGCTCCCCAGTTTGGATGCTGCATGGGGGCAAACTGCACGGAGATGAGGCTGACCGAGCAGAGCCCTCCCTGCCCCTCTCCTTGCTGTGGCTCCCCAGTGCCCTCCAGAGAAACTGCTCCCAGCTTCCGGCCATCCGTGCCTCTCCCTCCGCCTCCTGCCGTCCTGTGTGCCCTCTCCAAGGCTCACGGTCATGGTGCTGGCCATTCCCTCTTCTTTCCTCCTGCCCATGGGCTGTCACCTTCCGTGTCTTCGGGAGAGCTCCTCGGTGTTTGTCCTGGTGCCCAAGGGTCCCACACCCTGCATGGGGAGGGAGAGGAAAGTGAGCCCGCGGGGTCAGGTTGGGCTCTGACCTGCCCCTCCCTGCAGGTGTCGTGGAGATCCGCTCCGTCCACGTGGGTGTCGTGGTCATCAGGGCCGTGTACTCAGGCTTCTATGTGGCCATGAGCCGCTGGGGCCGCCTCTATGGGTCGGTGAGTGCCATGTGCTTGGTGGGTGGTGGGTGGTGGGTGGCAGGCGGCAGGGAGGCAAGGGTGCCCGCGGGCCTCACGCGCCCGCCCCGCAGCGGGTCTACACTGTCGACTGCAGGTTCCGGGAGCGCATCGAGGAGAATGGCTACAACACCTATGCCTCGCTCCGCTGGCGCCACCATGGCCGGCCCATGTTCCTGGCGCTGGACGGGCAGGGGGCACCCCGGCGAGGCGGTCGAACGCGGCGCCACCACCTGTCAACCCACTTCCTGCCGGTGCTGGTCTCCTGAGGCCCCGCGGGGCTGCGAGGGTCCTGCTGCCAGAGGAACAGGCTGGACAGAGATTCCCGAAGATGCCTGAGTGGGGTGGCGAGGAGGCCGGACGGGGTCCAGGCCCTGGCCACGCATGTTCTCACCGTTCACTTCACAAGCATTAGTTGAGTGCCTGCTGGATGCTGGGGACACCCGGGGTTCCCCCCAGACGAGGCCCAGCACTGAGGGAGCCCCCAGTGGGGGCTAGGTGGACACTGAGCAGGTGTCCCAGTGTCGTCATGAGCTGGGGGCGGAGGACACACAGGCATGTCCTGGGTTGAGGGTCGTGGTTGTGCAGTGTCAGGAGGTCTGGGGGAACATTCCAGGCGGGGGGCACAGCAGAGGTGAAGACTCAGGTGGGAGGAGTCGTGAGCTGTTGGGGCAGTGGGTCGGGGAGGGGAGGGCCCAGGAGGAGGGGCTCGGGCAAGGGTGGAGCAGGCACGGCCCGGGGATGGCAGAGATGGTGACTCAGATGTGCCACCCCCAGGTGGCCGGCAGAATAATGGCCCCAAAGATGTCCCTGTCCTGACACTGGGTCCTGGGGATACGTCGATTCCAGTGGCAAAGGGGCTCACTCTGCAGATGGGATGGAGTTGAGGACCTCGCGATGGGAGGTCATCCTGGGTTACCTGGGGGCCCAGTGTCCTCACAGGGTCCAAGAGGGGGCAGAAGGGCCAGAGGCAGAGACTGGAAGACGCTGCACTGCTGGCTTTGCAGACGGAGGAAGGGGCCACACACCGAGGGCTGCGGGTGCCCTTAGAAGCTGGGAAGGGAGGACACGGGTCCTCCCCTGGAGCTTCCAGAGGAGCCATCCCTGCCCACACCTTGACTTTGGACTTCTGCTCCCCAGAACTGTGAGAGGATAAATGTTTTGTTTTAAGCCATCAAGTTTGTGGTCATTTGTTACAGCAGCTGCATGAAACACACAGAATGTCTGAAATTGTTTCAATGATAAAATAATTTTCCAAGCTCCTCAGTTCCTGTGGGAAGGGGCAGAGGGTGGGGGTGGGAGCAGGTGCCACATGCAGGGCAGGCCAAGGGGGCTTCGAGGCAGTGTCCTCCAGGGACGTGGGAGGCCCTCTGAGCAGCCTCGGGGGTTGAACTCGAGCTAGAAGGAAAGCTAAGCCCAGGTTCAACACCTGCTCTGTAGCCTCGGGCCAGGCAGCTACTGCTCTGGGCCTCAGTTTCCCCTTGTATAAAGTGGGATGATGCCATTTGCCCCATGCGGTTTGTGGAGAGCCAACACAGGTGCAACATTCCTCTTGGTGGAGGTGATGGTCCCTGCCTCTCCTCCCAGTCACCAGCTTCCACTTAAAATACAGAAAACAAAGCCGGGCCCAGACACCTGCTGGGAGGAAATGGGGGGTGGTAGGTGGCCAGTGACCAGGGAAGAGGCTTCCAAGCAGGGAGGGCCACACCAGGCCTGCCTGTCTGGACCAGGGCCCTTTAGAACCCACCTGCTCACCCTAGAGACTAGACAGACACTCACTGCCAGCCAAGGCCAGCAGCTATCACTCAGGGAATGCTGGGCAGCATCTGGGGACATTTGTGGTTGGTTACGACTGGGGGTGCTCCTGGCTTGGAGTGGGTGGAGGGCAGGGACACTGCTCAGCACCTGCAGTGCCCAGGATGCCCCACCACAGAGGATGATCCAGCCCCAGTGTCCACAGTGCCGAGTGGGACCCTGTGTGAGTGAACTTGCCACACTGCCCTGCATCCAGCCATGGGGAAGGGGCCGCCTTGCCAACCGAATTCTGCTGTTCAGGGCCACACACCGCTAAGCCAGTGCCATTTCGAAAGCACAGGTGTCAAAATGACTAAAATAAAATTACTGAAAACAAATGCTGGTAAGGATGCAGGGAAAACGGACCCCTTGTACGTCGCAGTTGGAAACACGACCAGTTTGGACGTTTCTCCTGAAACTGAACACACAGCTACCATTCGACCCCACAACGCACTTCTGGGCATTCACATCTCAGAGAAATGACATCTCTGTTCACACAAAACCTGTACACGGATGTTCACAGCAGCTGTTTTCGAAGTGCCTAAAAACTGGGCACCACCTGGTGTTCCTGCACAGGTGGAGGTTAAACCCAGGGGCACGTCCACACCGTGGACACCACCCAGCTGTGAGAAGGAACGGACCACGGAAGTACGAGAACACGGAGGACTCCTGAGAGGCTGCAAACTGTGCTTCCATTTATGTGACACCTTGAAATGACAAGTTGTAGATATGGGGGAGTGAGGGGGTCCCCGTGGGGACATAAGTGTCCGCCTTCTGTTCTGCAGCTGTTTCCCTAGGGCGTGGGGTGAGGTGCCGGGCTCTGCGTTGACACTGGGTGTGAATCCACCATCATCCCGGGATGAAACATTTCATGTCTACAAGAGCAGCGGCGACCCCTCCCTGTGTCCTCACAGCCCCATCACGGCACACTTGTGGCATGGGGGTCCCGGCGGGTTTTCGCCGTGTCCCTAGTCCTGATAGCCACAGCCCCACTCGAGCCTCCCTCCTGGCCCTCTCGGTCCAGGCCGTGGTCGGCTCCAACCTCCCACTCAGGAGCTTTGGCTGCCCAAGAGCTGACCACGTGCAGGACCCAAGCCTTTCTCCCTGAAAACCGCGGCACCCAACGTGTGTACGGCCCCCAACGTGTGTGTTCTCCACTGGGAGGAGTGGGCTTGGCCGTGGGACTCTGCTCCGTGGCAGCGGCACCCAACGTGTGTGTTCTCCACTGGGAGGAGTGGGCTTGGCCGTGGGACTCTGCTCCGTGGCAGGGCAGCGGGCAGCAGACGGTCTGTGTGTCTCCACCAGCTGCTGGAACCAACCGCTTCAAACCTGGCGGCTCAGAACGACACACGTTACGAGTCCTCTCACTGTTCTGCAGGCTGGAAGTCCTAAAATCAAGGATGGTCCCCGACGAGCTCCTGTCTCAACGTCTAATTCCATCTCCTCTGCAGAGTGCCGCGTCTGTTACTGCGGGAGGTGCTGTGGTCCGAGCCCTGGGGCACCTGGCTGCACTCAAAGTCACAAACGCTTCTCTCTCCCAGCTCCACAACCCCGTCAGGGTATCTCTCAGGGTGTCGTTTCAGTAGCGCACATTGCAGGACACAGGGCAGAAGACAGCCTGGTGCAGAGCGGATACAGAACCGTTGCAGAACAGAGAGGCCGGGGGTGGGCAGGTGCCTTCCTGCGCTCTGGAGTGTCCACAGAAGGCAGGTGTGGGCGTCCCTGTGGACGGGTTTCCTCTCTCACTCATCTGTACCCTCCAATGCTGGGCAATGGACTATTGGGATCTTCAGCCACGGAGCAGATGGGAGGTCCCGAGCCAGCCCAGCTTCACGCAGAGCTCAGGCTCTGCAGATCCAGCCGGTGACCCTATGTGTGGTTCTGACATGAGACTGGATGCGGAAGGCCCTTTTGAGGGCAGAGGCCCTCCCTGCAGACCCCGGCTGGAGCACAGTCCTGCCTGACAGGTTAATGCAGACTTGTGTTCCCACTGTTTGAAAATGCAAGCTCGTGGTGCTTGGCCACGCTCTTGAATGTCTCCAGATCAGACGTCTAGGGTTTAAGTTTGTGATCCCAGGTCCTACAGCACCCGGGCTTCCCAGCTGAGTGGCTAGCGGGATACCCGCTCACTGCTGGACCCTGCAGGAGGTACAACCCCCCCTGGGGACAGGCTGGGCTGCCCAGACCCCCAGCAAGTCACAAAGCCCAGCCCCTCTGGACACACTGGCGCAGAAGGAAAATGCCAAGCCACCTAATCCTCTTTTTAAGTAGGTGTATTTTAAATAGCTCTCCACATACACATTTTCCCTTTAAAAAGCGTCTGTCACGGCAGTTTTGTTCTTGGCTCTTGCTGGTCTTCCTCGTGGCCCCAAGCCCAGCGCCTGCTGCACAGTCCTGAGCCCCCAAGCTCTGGGTCACGGAGGCAGCCATGGGGGCAGGATGGGGGGGGTGGGGGTGGGGGTAAGCGGCCTGTGCTGGGGGCACTGGCAACCCTGGCAGAGTAGCTCTGCCCTGTCCTTCCACAGATCATGCATGGCCGCGTGTGAGCTCAAACGTCCATTTATTTCAAGGCAGTAATAATTTAAAATTATAAAAACCTTTCCGCCAGTGAACATTTAGGGGGCGAAGTTAGACACGAGGGAACGGGAAGGTTGGGGACACCCCTTGAGGAGGCCGTGTGGCCTGCACCCCTCTGTGCCAGGAGAACTGGGGCACAGGACATCCCTTCCCCTGGGAGGGCCAAGCAGCCGGAGCTAGGTGGCCAAGCTCTGGTCCCACCCCGGAGGAGGCAGGTCCTCCGAGCTTTGCCTGACAGCCTGGGGCCCACCGGGCACTGACCGACCAGATGTGGGTGTGGCCCAGGCACCTCAGTCCATGGGTGCCACGGTAGTGGTGGAGCCAGGGGTGGGTGGGAAAGGACCAGAACTTTCCCAGCGACTGCAGGGTGCTGTGGGTGGGGTGGGGTGCGGTGCCGGCTGTGCGGGACTCAGGAGTTGCTTGTGGCGTTTTCGTTGCTGGGCGAGCTGGAGGACGAGGATGAGGACGAGGACGAGAAGCTGACTCCAGTCAGGCCCGGGGGGTTTGTGGCCGTGTTCTGTCCTGTGAGGCTTTTTCTGCAGACGGGACAGCTGTCGTGCTTCGTGGGACAGAGGCGAGGGCAGGAGAAGGGGAGTGGGTTAGAGGCCGCTGGGCCAGGGGGCCGGGGCGAGGTGCAGCGGGCAGGCGGGGCGGCTCACCTGCTCCAGCCAGGGCACAATGCAGCCGTTGTGGAACAGGTGGTTGCAGGGCAGCTGCCGCACGCTCTCGCCCAGTGCGTAGTCGTCCTTGCACACAGGGCACTCGAGCCCAGAGCCTGCGGGGAGCGGTGTGAAGCTGGGGCACAAGCATGGTGCCTGCCACCCACCCCCACCGTGGTCTCCAGGAGCTGCAACCCCACCAGGCCCCAAGGCTCGAGAGGAATCACGCTGGCAGCATC